CCAAAACTTCTAGACTGTGCCGCATCAATCTACTATTATATTTGGCAAATGAAAGTTAGCTTTTTATCAAAAGGTATATTATTAAAAAATTTGTAATATCAAAAGATATTGCATATATTACCTTCTTCGATTTATTGGATAATCTAGTCCCTGCTGTCTTGGATATATACAAATGTCTGTTCTGGGAAAATCGGTTTGAAAAATATGTTAGTACAATATTTCAGTTGTGAACTGTAATACGAAGGTTTCAAAAGCATAATTATGATAAAATTATGTTAGCTTTTTTATCGAATATTCAGTATAGAAAATAATTGAACACCCGATAATTAATACATTAAAATCAAATTTAAATATTTTTGATGAATATGCTATTGAAAATTTTCATAGTTTGTTACAGCGTTATACTACTTCAAAAGTAATAGTAAGAAAATCATTACAAAGAAATGCTCTTTTTATCGATTTTGTCATTTTGAGAATACATTTATTATATCATTTAAGTTTCAATATGATTATCCTTATACTAAGAAAGATTTGAATAATTTGGTTAAACTATCTGCTATTTGTTTAATAGATTTTTTTAATAATTTGCAGCAAAATCCTGACAAGACAGAATTGAAGAAAGAGGGGAAAAAAATAAAAAAGGACTATTATTATTTTTCAGATATTCAATCTGAATTTTCTTTTAAGGCTTTGCCACTAAGATATCATTCACGTTATTATTTTAAAATGAATAGTTTATATGATTATTTAGAATGCTCAGATTTATTAGAGAACAAAGGTCTTGTGCTACGTTGTGAGCATGGTTATCATAATAGATGCTTTCAAATTTTAGGATATTACTGTCATTATTGTTTTGAGTATCTTTCTAATTCTATAGAGGAATTGTTGCATTTATATAATGAAAGAATACGAATGAATGAAAGCAGTAATGACTGGGAAAATTCAAAAGATCAATCTAAAAAACTTGAATTTGATGAATCAGAAAATATTGAGCCTGTAAAAGCATGTGTGGATATTGATGAAAAATTAAAAAAAAAATTGCAGGTAAATATATTATAATTAATTTGTTTTTTATATTTAATAGTATATTATTAGTAATGATTTTTTTATAGAATTTGTCAATTTTACTTCAATCGAAAGTTCAAAAACTGCAAAATTTAATTTACTGATGACAAATATTACAAATATTTTAAACTAAACTATATTAGCATAGCAAACTGAAAGATTAAAATTAGCATAGCAAAATGAGGGATTATTAGCATAATAAATGAGAAATCAATATTAGCATAGCTAAATAAACAATATTAGTATAGCAAAGGCTTTTTTACTACATTTTATTAAATATATTTTTTAATGTAAATAATTAAGAAATAAAAGTTTTAGTTTGGTAACATTTTAGATTTTTATTATAAAATTAAACATCACATACATTATGTATCATATCCTTATATAAATAGTATTTTAAAAGTGATCTGCATTATTTGTCACAAAATTAGTATCATATACAATACAAAAATTTAATCAACCAATCAATAGATTTTTAATCATACTTACTTGATACTAGTTTTCATATTTAAGATTAATTGAACAAATATTATTATTATAATTTTCTAACTTGTATCTATTGCATTTGATAAAAACTTCAGTTTCTTTATTTTATTATAAGTCTTTTTTTTAATGCTCTGCTATAACAAGTTTGCTAGTCTTTTTTGAGACTTTTCCTAAATAGATTTCTTTGTTTTTTTTAGAAAGATCTATTCTTTTTTCTTTTTATCTTTTATAATTTTCTTTGAAGAGATTTTTATTACCTTTCTATTTAGATCTTCAACTTTAAAATTATCTTGTACTTTTCTGCTTTTTTTTTTTTTAGAACCTTCTGCTCTAAGTTAAGAAACAAACTTAGAATACATTCTTTTTTCTTAGTAAATCTTATATATTTAAATTGTTGCTATGTTAGTAAGAAATTTCTTGAACTATCTATTAACTGTTCTAATATGAAGAGATTCATTATATTATTTAAGGCAAATTGTTGACTTTCTTTTTTCCTAACAAGCTATATATTTTAGTTCTGTTTATGACTAATTTCTCTAAATTTTTTAGTATTTTATTAATTTTAAAACTTATTTTATTAGACTTATGTAGAACTTTTAGTACTAAATTATTCTTGAGTACTATTTTGTTAAACTTGTTTTTTTTGTTTATTAGTAAAAGCAAACTTTTATTTTGTAGCTTATCTTCTTTAACTCTTAGTCTTATAGTTATACCAAAAGTATCTAGTCTGTTTAAACATATTACTAGCTCTGTGAAATAGTGTACTAGTTGATTTTGCCAAATTGATCTCAGATCAAGAAATTTAATATAACTGCAAATAGAATTTGCTATAGTACTTACTAACTCTAACTTGTTTTTGATTAGGATCTATATTAGTCTTTACAATTTATCACAAGTTGGTTTAGTTAAGAAAACTGTTTGAAGTCTATATTCATCACTTAATAATAAGACATTGTTGTTGATATATACAAGTTAGCTTGTTAATACTTTTTTTTACTTAATTGTCTTGTATATTTTGTTTATCTTATTTCTTATAATATTTAAGCTACAAATTTTGTTATTTTTGCTTACTATTTAGACTTCTAGATGTCTAAATAAGTTTGTATATTTTTTGCATATACAGTATCTTCTTTTTTTCTTTCTATACTAATTGAGTACTACTCATTTTTTGTCTTATTCTTTTTACTGACATTTAAAACTAATAATTCTAATTTTTTGCTATTAATTTCTATATTATTAATTTTGTAAAACTCTCTCGAGATATCAACTATTCTTTGTAATTCTGTTTTTGATCTAGCTATTCAAATTATATTATCTTTTTTTTTTTGTTATTAAGGTAGCTTATATTGTTGAGTAAATTTTATTAGTTTAATATACAAGGTTATATATAAGTAATCCTCTACAGTTTGTAATTATATGAAGAGTGTACAATAAGCTATATATACAACTTTAGTTATTGTCTATTTTAAATAGTTTGCTATATAGATGTTAAACTATCTGATTAGTTCTATACTATACTACTATACTTGTAACCTGCTTATGAATTACTTATTTAAATACTCTATTTTTTTTTTTTTTTTTTTTTTTTTTTTTTTAAACTTAGGCGATCTTACCCTTCATTTTATTAGGCGAATATCATTAAAGACAT